CTCTTCCATTTCTCGCTTTATCTTCCTTTCTATATCTGTTGTGTATCTCAAGAAAATGAAGGGGAAGTTTCTGAGGGCATGCTTTAACAAATGGAGGAAGGTGGGGAGTAGAGTCATTCCTAGCACTGGCTGTGAGTACTGCTATCATTGGGCATTGTGGCCTTCCGTGCATGAGAAGAATGTGATTCCAAAAGATGTTCCAAAGGGTCACTTGGTAGTGTATGTAGGGGAAAAGCTTAGGCGCTTTGTGATCAAAGTCAGCTTGCTTGAACACCCGCTGTTCAAGGCATTGTTGGATCAAGCAAAGGATGAATATGACTTCAATGCTGATTCCAAACTCTGCATTCCCTGTGATGAAAGCCTCTTCCTCCATGTTGTTCGTTGCGCTAGCTCTCCACAGGACCGAAAGCTGTCCCACTGTCTTCAGCAATTCATTTGAGAAACCCGATTGATTCAAAAATCCTGAGAGACAACTAATATGTAGTGTATCAAGTAGAATTTGGTAACATAACTATGCATGTAGCTCATAAATGTAACTAAATTAAATTCTGTTTTGGCAACTAGTAAATCACATCTGCTAGCTCAAAATTGGAACCTGTCTAGCACAGAAACCAGAAGCATTTTGACATTTGCTAAAAATTGCTGATTCATAGCTCCACCGTAGTGGTTTGACAGATACATAGATTAAACACATAATTCTCAGATTCTTCATCATTACAAGAAGAGAAGGTGATGAAGAAAAGCGTCATCCTTCACGAAGGGCAGAGTTTATCTACCATTACACAAGGTGTTTGCATGATTGACAAACCAGATTCTTTAGAGTTCTTGATTTCCAAATCAAGAAGCCACGACTTCAAGGAAATAATGAATACACAGTAGAAGAGGCTAGCTAGCTGTCCTGATATCAGACTCTTCACCAGGTTGGCCTGCAGAGTGCTGGGAACAGGGTCCAGCTTATGACAGCGCTAGTAGGAGACATAAAAGACAGTGTATTACAGATAAAATTGATGAGCCAACCAATCAAAGGAAGGAAAAAAAAAAAAGTATGAGAAGGCAATGATTGCAAGACGGGGACACAGATCCAATTTCTTTAGCATTGGTCCCCAGAAAGACATCCGACAAGCACAGGGTAAGCAGGCTTTTGCTCTTCTTAAATCAGATTTTACAAAATTTCTCATCATAAGGCTGTCAAACGGGTAAAGCACACCAGAATTACTTGATGTACTCTCTCATTCATTTTTAATAAATTTATTTATTTTTTAAAATTTATTAATCAAATTTCTTATTTTTTTTTAATTAAAAATGTTACTTAAATAAGACTTTTTATTTAATATATGTTATATTTAGCTTTTGAAACAAAAGTAAAATAAAAACTAATGTATTAAATGACATCTTAAAAAAATTAATAATTAAATTTAAATGCTCTAAATAGAAAACTAAATCTACTAAAGTTGAAAGTAAGAGTATCTTAACAACAAAAAAGGAAAAGAAGAGAGTGGAAGGTGTGATAAAAGGAAATTAATTAAAGAATGGTGCAGGATAACATAACATGATGCTTACAAAGATACGATAAGAACTGAAAATGGGTTTCAGGGTCGTGAAAACTAATCCACTCCGGAAGCCCTTACGTTTTCAGGGCTCTCCCTAAGCAATGCATTCAACCAATATGTTCTTCCTACCAGTAAAAAAGGTTGAAAACAAAACGCTAAAAAGGAAAAAGGGCAAGTGTAATATGAAAATGATGGATTTTTTGGGTATCAGACCTGATGTGTTTCTTCTGAAACCAAGAGGAGCAACAAAAGTCAATTTTGAAGCTTAATTAGTGATAGCATGTAAAGAGATTAGGCCTCTAATAAAACCCTTTATAAGGAGCAAGAGTTAACATCTGTGACTAATGTAATGACATTTTTAAAGCAAAGATTGGATTTTCTTGCAAAGAAAACTATTGCAATTGTATGATAAGCACACAAGAGAGCGTCAAATCCCACTTTCTATAGGGTCAGTGAGTTTTCTTAAGACATCCTTGTTATATTTATGAAAAGTGACAGCAAGAATGGAAATATCTGTCCCCAGAATGCCACCATTCTCAGCAAAGACAAATGCATTAAAAACCAAGATCAGGATGAAAGACAAAGAGATCTTGATGGAACAAAAGTTCCATCTGTGGCTCGGTAATATCTCAGAAACTTGAAGACATCAAAGCAAATTTACCATTGTATGTATGAGAGGAAAGGAGCAGGCTGAAAAGCACGGTAAGTTAAAGAATGGAAGGAGATGAGCAGAGTTTTGTTTTAGAACAAAATTTGGCTATTACTTTGCAAGAAATGCCCCTCATATGGAAGCTTGTTGCCCCTAAAACTGGCCATATTGGGAAATACAGTTATTTTGCATACCTGCTGCACGATGGTCTTGATTACTGGAACACAGCTTCGTTTTGATGATGTTGTTCACTTCAGATTCTGTTCAACAACAAGCCAAATTTGCATTGCCTCAGAGATCCTAAAACGAACTAACAGAATGGAGACTCAGCTAATGGTCCTCCCCATAACTCACAATTGGTGTAAGCACGCAGACCCACTCAGGAGTCGGGATATTTTTTCTATTGGTATAAGCACAATCTGCATGATTTGTTATCTAATGATTATGCACCATAACAATAACATCACTACCATAATAAATCTGATCTTCCAATAGAAGATCCTAATTCACAAGGCATTATAGGCACATAAGCAGGACAAGAAGCTACAACTTAAAATCCTCAAAGCATATACCATTAAACTTTGGATTTACTATCCCCACCACCCCCAACAAGATGCTGCTGAACTTGTTGCATTTAAGCTTAGTGAATACCCTTTCAATCCATGCGGTATTGGATTCTGAATAGAGGCTATCATCTTTTCCAGTTTCATGGACCAACAAATTTTAATTGTTTTCCCGCCAATAAAATGAGAAAAATAGAAAATCCAGAGGCAAAGAAAAAGATAAGATATCAAAGCGGGCCCTTTCATATCTAAACTAATCTCTCCCTGCAGATGCAAATGCATAGAAACGATGGACAAGGATTAGACAACAAAAGATCTAAATATCACCGCATGAGCAACACTTGCAGAAGGCATATGAAATCCATTCTAGATTCATATTGCCAGGGAAAGTTACGTCAGGGCATTGAAAACAATAATGAAACAAAATATTCACAAGAAACAATGTTGTGAAAATATACACAAGTAGTATATTGCCTCATGGTAAAGTACATACAACACATCGTAGGTGCTTATACCAAACAATGGCGGTATAGCATTGCCAGGACTGCAAAACAGGAAGATTGGAGTGCGATGAAAGATTACTGCTATCTTCTGTATTATCGCAATTGATAATTCTACCTGCCATAAAAACTGTCACCCCAATCCTAGTGAGTATCATCTGAGGCCCTCAATCACGACCTCCAATTCTCTTCTCCCAAACGTTCTCGCCTCTGCATTAGCATCCGTACACCGAGCTGCAAAGTAAAATATCAACCAAGCCACAATGAAGTATACCTCAAAAGCTGCCTGGCAAACAGCTGCGAAAGAATCCCCACCAATTCGTGTCAATACCCCTCTTGCAAGAGACCCTCCTAATATAGCTTCATAAAACTTGATCTGTATCGCTGGATTTAACATTGTGGACAGCAAATAACAGCCCTCCTTCACAATCTCCCTTCCACTTCTCCTAGAATCCACAATGGCAATCCAAGCATCAAGTGAGAAGATAAACGCCACCAAGGTATCCAACAAGAACCATGTAAGCAAGAACCCCGAAATTTCCCTCTCAAAACCCCGAATCCAAGGGGACATGACAGAAAAAGGCATCAACTTCAACCTCACAAACAGTTTGAAAAACGAGTACTGATCCTCAACCTCGCCGAAATACCACAATCCAAGAAGTTGCGTCAATGCATCTCTCACCGCCCACCGCATCAAGATGAAGCCACCGAGCCTCTTGAGACCCAATCTAGACCCGTCCCAGACAGCTCCAAAGAACGAAACAAACCCCCCAATCAAATCGTTCACGACAGTAACAAAAATGACGCCCATAACCCACGAATATATAGCAGTGAAGCCTAGAATCACCCACCCGTAAGCAGCCGACATGACGCTCACAAGAAAGAACAAAGCAGCCGCATCACGTCGACCCAGCTCCAAGCCCTTGATAAAGAACTGAAAATCGACAATCCTGTCCGATTCTTGCCCATCACTATTCTGCCCCTGTTCCTGCTCCTGCTCCTGCTCTCCGTCAAGATCGAGTTTCTGCTGAATGTTGTCAAAAGGCGCCGTTTTAAATTTGACCCCGTAGCGAACTACCTCAGGAAGAAAAATTCCGTTGTCGGTGACAAAATTGGAAAACCCCAATTTGGGATCGAAGTTGGAGAGGACCATGGGGGTCCCATTGCTAGGAGGGTTAGGTAGGAAACCGAAGAGGGAACGATCACGGTGGTCATCGTCGGAGGAGAAGAGGTCATCATCAAGGGTACCCACCCGGGTGAGGTGGAGGAAGGGGCGGCGCGTCTGGCGCCGAGAGGGCTGTGAACGCTCGTGGGGATGGTTGGGGTGGAGGTCAAGGCGGGAAAGGAGGGACTTGATGGAAGGGTCACGGTCGATAACGGAGGTAAGGAAGATGGAGCCGGACTCAACGAGGGAGCGGAAGGAGAAGAGAAGAAAGGAGAGGAGGAGGAATGTGAAGAGGTTGGAAAAGAAATGGGTGGTGGTTCGTTTAAGGATCTGGGAAGTGGTCCGGAGGTGGAGTAACCTCAGAGGATCGGTCATGGCGGATTGTGGGAAGTGAGGTACGACTCTGTCTGATTCCTTTCTGATGTTGTTTGATGTGAGATTTGGGAATTACTAGTTCCGAGGGAAAGTGAAGGAGGGAGAGGATGGGAGAGTGGCATGCACGCGCCGTGGCTCCGGTTGTCCAGCCCACAATAGGCTAAAATGGGCTTCCATTTAATGCTTGGCCCACTTCAATGCGGTGTAAATATTGCCTCTTTTTTTAGGTTTAAGGGAATTTAATTTTTATAAATTTTGTAATTTTAAATAAATTTTTAATGTATTTTTATAATATGTTATCATGATTATTAAAAAATAAGAATAATCTTAATTTTAATTTTATTAAATAAATTTATATTTTTTTAATGTTAATATAAAAATTTGTTTTAAATAAATTTTTAATAATTTAATTTTAAATTTAATTTTTAATAATTACACAAATTTATAAAAATCAAAATTAAAAACTAAACAGTACAACCATGCGAAACTTGAAATCTTAGTTTTAATTTTGTATTGAACTTCCACCATGCAGCCCGATGGGTTGCGCGCTTCAATGAGGAGATAGGAAATCTATTGTTTTAGAGATAGAATCCCTAATTACTAATAATTCCTAACCTGACTACTAACAATTAACTTTGTCAGAAAAAAAAAAGTTTTAACTTTGTATTGAACTCCACCATGCAGTCCGATAGGTTGCGTGCTTCAATGAGGAGATGAGAAATCTATTGTTTTAAGGATAGAATCTCTAATTGCTAATAATTCCTAACATGACTACTAACAATTACCCTTGTCAAAAAAAAAAAAAATTAACTTTGTATTAAAAAATTATTAATTAGTTTTGCCATTCGTACGTGTACAAAACTAAGGACTAGATGGAGTAATAATTGCGCAAGAGCTGCATAGCTACCAGCTCTTACACAAGCTTCAATGGGCTTCTCTTGAACCAGCTGGGCAAGAAATCCTCCAACAAATGCATCCTCTACCGAAAAATATGAAGGTGCTAACAATGATTCCGTTTGCTGGGTTTGACGGTGTTTTTGGCTCTATGTAACACATTACACACATAATGGGATCAAAGGTAAATGTTCTAGTTAGTAGCATGGCTAGTTCTTCTCATACTCTCCCAATCCCCAACCCCCCTTTTTGTTTAGGCATGCATATGGGTAGATCTCTTAAAAGTTACAGGAAAAGGACATGCCTGCTTCATTTGTATCAACCAGTTTTTCCTTTGGTAGCATTATCACAAGGAATTTCTTCACTTTTCCATCCTCAGCAACAACCACTGGGTCTGCCCCTTAAGTGATAACAGTGATCCTCTTGTATGCTCCAGATGCTGTTGGCCATTGAGAAGTCTTCAGAGCTATCTCATCGACATTGTCTGTCTGGAAAGCAAATGCAGCTCAAAATGGGTCCAATTTGAAATTAAACCATCCATCATAAAATCTGATGTTTAGCAGCACTTACCTCCCAACCATGAACTTTTTGAGAAGGTTCTTGTCTCTGTCTCATTGCCGAAGAGGTGGTCCATATACCTGGACCACAAAATGGTCATGCAATTTTTTCCACACGTAAATATCAAATCCTGTGCAGAAGAAGATAATAGATGCTTGCGGCAAAACTTTCTCCTGTGCATCCTGAAGGACTCACAAATAAATGGAGCAGAAAGATTCATCATGAAGAGCTACAGACAATAGAAAGGAGAGTTTTTAGTTGTGCTGCATGATGTACCTTGTTGTTTGCGGCTGCATGTCCGGCAACAAGCTGGATAGAGTCTGGAAATACGATGAGGAAAAACTCAGCAATATAGAAGTACTTGGCCTTCTCAACTGCATACCATGATTTTAGAAACAAGTTACAATGGATAATTGGTGAAAAATCCAACTAGGCCATTTCAACAATCCAAATTTGGATTTTACCAGCAACTCAATTTCTTTAAATGCACACTTAGACAAGGAGAGGGAAATGAAAGCGAAACCAAGAAAGAGAAGGCAGAAAAGTACCTAATGCCCAATTATCTGGTCTCTTCAAATGCTCACATGTGTAGCAATTTGCAGTTGACAGATGTGCAACAAGTGACCTAAAGATAGATATGACATTTATGGTGGCACAAACACTAGGCAGTGATTTATGGTGGTACTTTGGCAGAATGTAAAGGAATTAGAAAAGAAAGTCCATATTCAAACTGACCTTTCCCCACCAACAACACAAACAACACAAACAACACAAGTTCCGGTAGGTGTAGACTCATCCTAAAGATAGTGAACCTGATGTTAGTATTGAAATATAACTCTTTTCAGCCTCAGTCATAAATAAATAGAAAATGCAATTCCAAATAACCATGCCCTGGGTGATCAGAAAAAGGGCTGGAGAGCAGCTTAAGGAGCAGAATTCTCTCAACCTTTCAGTGTGAACAGAAAGGAAAAATGCAAGATGGGGGATTGGAAAACTATATTACATTAAAACCAACAGCTTTTGAGTTTTTCTTCATGTCCTTTCCAAATTTGTCCTTTCCAATACACCCCATATAACTTTTTTCACCTGGAATTTGGAGCATCCACTGCATGCAGAAAACAGAAACTCAATAGTTAAGTGTTTACTGCAAGGAGTTTCTCAATGGCAATCTGAAGAAAGAACCGTGAAATACCTGGGAGACTTCGATTGAATTTTGGGTAGCACCTGCACATATAAAATTGTGGAGCATTATTAACTATTTACCATGTACCGAGTGAAAATTCAGATCTAACTATTTTCCTTCAAAACCAAAAATACTGAGGACATTTGATGTCTAACCCCCAGCGATGTATTCCACTTTATACTTGGAAGCCATTTCTTCAAACCTGAGATGAACACCATGGATTCAGTATTGCCACATGGTCCACCAATTAAGAAAAATAACTACACAAACTAACAATGAATATCTCCCAAAGTGTTGAGGATCAAAAATCAAAACCATATAACATATAACATGCGATGAAAAATAAGACAGGAACCTTATCTTTCAACAAAACACATCATTTCAAGAACAGTAAACAGAGTGAGGTACCCAAATATGTTTCTACTTTTCTATGACCAAATATCAACTACGTACATCTAACAGTAAAACAATGCATCCAACCTAATCTCTTCAAATCAATTTCCTTAGTGACCAAATTATCAGACATAATAAGATTGCTAAAACTGCATAAACAAAGTTGGAGGTGGAGCTGTTCTGTCCAAAATGTAAATGCTACCTACACTACACAGCGACACTCAACATAGCTGATTAACCTAAGGTTGGAATAGAACAAAGTAGCTTACATAGGTATGCGCTTGTCCTCTGCAAGAATCGCGTTGTTCAACTTGATGTCATATCTGCAACACCAAAATCAAGCAACCCCAATTAATGGAAATAAGAACAGATTACAAGAAATATTTTAAAAAAAAAAAATCTTACTTTTTCAAAAATTTTTCGTCCACAACCGCAGATATGTCCAGGAGAGGATTGCCCATCCCTAAGAAAATTCCTTTAAAGGTCATTCTGGGAGGAGAAAGGTCAGAGGATGCTTAGTCCAAGCTGATAGGTAGTGCACACAAGTCATATAGTAACTTTTTATACAACTTTTGGTATCATTTAATTATATAATTAATTTTTTGATAATAATATTATAATTATAATATTATGTAAAATTATAAAATTACAATTATAATATATTATTGAAAGAATTAATATATACAATATCATATGTAGACATTTAAATAAAAAAAATTAATTATATAAACACACATCAAAAAAGTTTATAATGCCCCATGAAATTCTACTTGTATCATTTTCAACTCTTTTTACTCTACTCAAAGTTATGATATTATATATATTAACTAAGGAGATCAATATGGAGTTTTTTTTTTTTTTTTTTTGTTAAAGTACGAGTCCCTAACCTTTCATATGTACTAAAATGATCCTCAAATTAAAAAAAAAAAAAAAAGAAAAATAGAAAGAAAAGGTAAAATGACCCTTGAAAACATCATTTGGATGCTATGCAAAATATACATAGATATACATATATAAATAAAAATTTACTTATATATAAATTTTATATACTATATTTATATAAATATTGATTATTTATTTTTTTACTTTTTAATGATTGAGATTTATTATACTTTTTTAAATAAAAATAATAATTATTTTTAATAAATATAAATAAATTTTAATAATTAAAAATAAAATAATAAATAATTACAATTTTTATATAAATATAATATATAAAATTCATAAAAATAAATCTCTATATATATATTTATCTAACTATTGTATAACTCTATGCAATACCGTATTGCACAGCATCCCAAAAGACAGCCTTAAAACGTCACAATGTGGGAGAAACCTGGGAAAGTCACATGCTCGGCGGGTAGAAATAGAATGCCTTTCACAAAGTTCAGAGATTCCAATCTATGTACTCTGCTTGCAAGTTTCCTTTGTTGTGTTGTGCTGTCTTGTCTTGTATTATTTCTTTTTGGGGATTTGTACTTCATGAATTTTCATTTTAATTATTAAACAAGTGGGTCTGCACACAAAAGGTTGGTTCAAAAGTCATATTTCTTTAGCACACATATATGTTTATATAAAAACTCGCAACAACTTGGGCATTTGGTCTAGTGGTATGATTCTCGCTTAGGGTGCGAGAGGTCCCGAGTTCAATTCTCGGAATGCCCCTTTCTTTCGGTATTATTTTGTTCAATTCAAATTTAAGGTTATTAAATGAAAAGGTAAGAGTAATTAAAGTGAAGAGCTAAAAATAGAAAGTTCAAGAAGCAGGAGATCTCATCACCCTTGTAAAGATGAAAAAAATGAGGGTAAGGATAAAAAGAGTGAAACAGGAGATTGATTGAAGGGTAGATAGGAAGGGGAAGTGAGACAAAGGAGAAGAGTTGAAAATCCAAAAAAGGCTAAGAGAATACAATTATGAATATAACATCAACACAGCACATCTCACCAAAATATACTTTACATCTCATCAAATGCAAATGCTTCCTTTTATTTGAATTTAACTAATAATTATTGATTACATCTAACTTTTTGAGTCAAATTACCTTCGATTATGTTGTAGTGCACTTCCCTTTTTTTTGTTTGGATAGATTCGAACCCATCCCATAACACATTATTCAAAAAAAAAAAACTAATAATTATTAATTAATGAGTACAACTATTTTTTTTTTTTTGATCAAGTTTTACAAGGGTGGGTTTCGAACCCGCCAATGGAGGAAGAGGGAGGTAATGCACCTGCAATGACAGCTCGAAGGCCACTTGATCCGAAAGACCAGATACGAGTACAATTATTTTTAACAAAGTAACCAAATAAAAAAGTTAAATTTGAAGTATGATAGTACATATGTTCCATCATTTTCCATTCATAATTATTATTTTTGCTTAAAAATTCATTTTATTTATAGTAGATTAAAAAATTACTACCCAAATAAATGATAATTAAAAATTATTTAAATATAATTTCTTTATATATTAAAAAATTAATTACTCAACAATATAAAAATTTAAATATCTATTCCTAATCTTAAATCAAAATTTTGATTTATGGGAGGGGTTACACGTAATTAAACATCGATAAACCAAAGGTCGGGTACATGTCGCCAAGTGGCAACTGTCCTCATGTCCACGTGTCAACCTCTGGAAGTTTCATGCTCCTGCGCTGCCACCAACTGGCCGGTACGGTTCTGTGTACGTCCATATCACCTTCCCGAACTTGCCCAGCACGTTTTCTCCCCATCCCCCCGTCACAAAAATCAGAAATTTCCATTAATAACGCATCCATTAACCTTCTTCCCTTTCGAAATCGCTTCCCATTTCCATTTTCTCATCGCCATTTCTTCGATTTCATCTTCTGAACCTGAAAATTCCTGTTTTCTTGCTCCAGGTTTTTCGAGTTCTCTATTTTCTCTCTATTTTAGCTGTAATTTTAATTTATTAATTTCTGTGATTGTGATTATTTTTTTTTTCCATTTTTTTAGTGATAAAACCTAGGGTTTTGATTCCGTTTGTGGCCTTAGAAAGAAAAAAAGACTTTAGCTTTTTTTCTTTTTGTTGACTGAAGAAGTTAGTGTGAACTATTTATCCGTGGCGATTTGAACCCTTGACCTTTCCTTAAAGTTTAGGTTGAAAGTTGGTGCCCAAAATTTAGGTTTCAAAGTTGTGGGTACCACTTCGGAGAAAGCTCATGTTGGGGGAAATATGGGGAAATGCTCCTCGGGAGGCTGCTCATGGTGTAGCTGCTTCGGAATTTGAGCAACTTAACTAGCAAGTCGGGTTCTTATAATTGTAGCATAAACAGAAAAAAACCATGATATTCCAGTTTGGGTACACTTTATTTTTATTTTTATTTTTAATTTTTAATTTTTTCGTGTGTATGTGAAAATGATGCTCTGTTTTGAGCAGCTTGAGTTTGGTTGATGAAAAATGTAATTTTAACTGCTTGTAGTTGATTGATGTGGTTTTGGATCTAGTTGAATTTGATCCCCTATGATTATTTTTGAAATTGATGAAAATGTGGTAGCTTTCTATACTCAAATCAAGCCACTGTTGTTTATGGTTACTTATCTGAACTGATGACTATACCATCTTGGTCTATCCCTCTATGATTTCTAGTATGTTTTTGATTGTGGCTCTGTTGATTATATGATTTGCATTGTTGTTCCTTTCGAGGACAATTGACAAACTGTAAGAATTTGTATTTTTGTAGGTAATTTTTGCTGCCTTCTGTTTTTCAGTTTTATCTTTTTTTCTGGTGCAGTCAAGGAAGTATAGTATGTCTGGAAACAATGTCAAAGATGATGGGGTGGAAAGGTCAAAGACAAAAGGTATCATCTTTGGAAGGTTAACTTCTTCGGGCTCATCCATCACAGGTTTGCATTATTTAGGAAGTTCACCCAGTACTTGGAACTAGGGGCAATCTGCAAGTTGAATTTGTATGCCTATTGAGAGGGCACTAAGAGGCAATTAGAAGTGTTGCTGATCCTCACACTTCTTTGTTTCAGGGAAGTCTGAGGGAAGCTCAAGTACCATTTTTGAACAGGTGAAGTTGGAGAAAGGAGGAAAACCAATCGACCTTGATGCTATCAAATGCAGTGAAAATATAAAGCGAGTTGTAGACCTAGAGAGAGATACTTCTAAGAGGAAAAGAGATGCTCGCAGCTACAGAAAATGGATCATGTCTCAATCAATTAAAGATAAGGTGTTAGGTAATACTTTGTTCATTTCACAATAATGTAAGAAGTAAATGTTTGTGTGGAACGTACCTTCTGTGGTTATAAATTTTGTACCTTTAGTGTTTTCAAATCATTGGAAAAATGTGTCTTTCTTCTTTGTCAAATTTTCAGTAGGAGGCTGTGCCATGAAAAATAGCCTGTACCATTGTATGCATGGCTATAAACTCGACATCTTGCTGCTTCTTAACTCAATTGACTGGTTTCATTTGGCGGCAGCAATCTCTTTTCTCTGCATAGTCTTAAGTGTCAATGTATCTGTATTTTGCTATGTATTTCAGGTTGATAGAGTTTATCATATTGTTTCTTGAATTGGCAATGTTATTCAGGAAAGATAGATCAACCATCATATGGCTGGGTTTCCAAGGAAAATGAGGAGAAAGTTGGTCAGAGTTTGCTTCCATGTTATAAAAGACAGAGGTATCACTTTTCTTTTTTTTCATTTTCTAAAATTGCCATCTGTCTCCATGCCTGGCTTTAAGTTCCCTTCTGAGACTGAATGCAAAAAAGCTTCCAATGAATTCAAACGGGGAGAGAAGATAGGAAATTAGTACAATAGATTATAATTTCTTTAGTAATTACGCTTACTTTCATCTTGAGCAACCCATCTTCACAGCAATATGCAGACATTAATTCATGACAAATGAGACAGCTGTTTTCTTTTTCTAGAAACCATTTATTATTAAACTTATTCTTCTAATTTTAGATATTTTTTGGGGCCTCTTTTTTATTCTTAGCTCTATAACTATCAATTTTCTCTTTCCTTTCATAGGTCAGATTTTGATTCAAAACAATACAGTTCTTTCAATGCAAAACGGGAACATAACTTGCATGGCATTTTTGCTCCCAAGGTACATCTGCTTGATATATTATTGAATGTACCAGGCCTGGTTGTCAAGTTGCTTCTCTAACATACTTAAAGCCAGCAATTGAAACAAAAAGATATGCAATAATGTTTTTAGGCAGTTCATGGAGAAGCATCTACAGCTAGGAGTCCTCAAGAGAATGATACTGCAGGCAATGACACAAAGGACCAGACTTTAGTCTCTAAAGAAAATGTGGGTTTTAATTCCAGTACTCAACATAGATGCTTAAATACTTAACATTGTTATGATGTTTTTTCAATATTATAATTTTTCTTTCTTGTTCTTAAAGCTGTCAGAAAAGGCTCCATTAATTATTTTAAACTTATTTTTGCTTATATTTCTCATGCATCATGTCAGGATGGAAAGGAACCTGTTTCTCAGCTACCCATGCGATCCACTGAAGAGTATGCGGACGATGTCCAGGGAGAGAAACCCCATTTAGAAATTCAAACTGATGGTCAGCATAATGCCTGTTCCATTTGCAGCCTTGGTGGAAAGCTTTTGTGAGTAGCTAAACATAATCGAATTCTTCTTGATATTTTATATCTAAATTAGAATGGATATTGGTATAAACTCATTAAGCTTGTTACAAAACACATTATATCCAGTCATGTAACTGTTTTTTCTGGCCTGCTGTCATGTTGCTACTGGAAACTCCACTTTCTTGTTTGTTTAGATTTTTTGTGGTTTCTTTCTCTTTTCCTTTTTTTACACAGATGATCTATATAAGGGGGGATATATATCATTAGGTTTTTTTATATAGTGCTGCTTTCTTCTGTTCTTAAGATGTTCCTATAGCTCCTCCTCTCCTGTTCTTTTTCTTTATATTGTTGTGAACAAGAGATGTAATAAGATCATAACTGAAATGGGTCTCTAAAACACAAGTCTTGAGAAGGTTAGAAGTTACATCCTTTGAGCTCAAATCTATTTCACTTTTAAATGTTCAATGCATTTTTAGTTATTAATTGGTTTCTTAAATTATATTTTTCTTTCAATTATTTCTTTCATAGCTATATGAGTTATATCTTGTTAACATCACATCATGCTTCTTCCTCATTTCAGGACCTGTTCTGGAAAAGGGTGCAAAAGGAGCTACCATCTCTCTTGCCTCAATCCTCCGTTGATTAATGACCCTCCCAGAATTTGGCACTGTATTTTGTGTGTTAAAAAGAAAATTGAACTAGGTGTGCTGGCTGTCTCTGGAGAAATAGAGTCCATTTGGGATGCTAGAAAGGTAGTTTCAGATTCTAAAGGTATAATGCAAGATTCTTCTTTTTTTTTTTTTTTTTTTGTGTGTGTGTTTGGTTAGGACATCTGTGCTTATTGCCTTGGATTTTATCATGGTTAAAAATGGTTTTTAACATTGTTTAGTTGGTTTTATGGTGGTAGTAATGCAGATGGAGAAACAGTATTTAGTCAAGTATCAAGGTCTTGCACATGTTCACAACTGCTGGATTCCTGAGACAAAGCTGCTTCTTGAGGCTCCAAAGCTTGTTGCAAAATTTAACAGAAAAAATCAGGTTCTTAGTGACTGCAGATAACTAAGTTTGTGTGTAGCATAAAAGAAAACTAACTATATGTCCTTTATTGGAAAGATCAACAAATGCTATTGTATTAACACTTCCCTCCTCTTGAATGGAGGGTGTTTTCAGGACATTAGGTGGAGAACAGAGTGGACTGTCCCACATCGATTGTTACTGAAGAGACAATTATCATTTTCTAAAAATTGTGACGAGTATTTTGATGAGCATGTTATGAGTAAGTCAGACTGCAGTCATGAGTGGCTTGTGAAATGGAGTGGTCTTGGTTATGAGCATGCTACATGGGAGTTGGAGAATGCTTCATTTTTGAGATCACCTGAAGCTATGAAGCTCATTATAGATTATGAGACCCGTCATCGGAAGGGGAGCTCAACTCTTTCTGAAGCAGATAAGGTATTTCTGATCATGTGAAAGGAATATGGAAATCACAATTAGTGACTACTCTTATACACTTGATACCTATTTTCTTCTTGTGGAGATATCTTTAAATATTGTATTTTGGTTATAGGCATATTAATTTAGATAGTAAAAACTACTAATTAACTGTGCTGGGTGCAGAATGGCGCAAAGTGCCTTTCTGAACTCTCAGAGTTAACACTGGGAGGTTCATCTGGAGAATACAATCGTCATCTAAGATATGTTAATAAGCTTCGTGCATGTTGGCAAAAAAATCAGAATGCTGTTATCCTTGATGATCAAGCGGATCAGGTTGGGTGCTCCATCTAACCTCATTTTTTATTTTCTCTGGTTCTTACATTTCTGCAAATGCTGCAAATAACAAGGTTGTCACTTGACACTGGCTTTTATTGATTTTCCATGCTAAATCTTTTGAGACCACACTCAGTCAAGAACTGTAGACAGGTGGAAACTCCTATATATTGACATTGCTGATAAAAATCAGAAGGAAATATTGAACTAATAAGTAATTCACTTTTGGACATACTCACTTCAGATTTCTCACATTTGTCTTGACTGTGTTGGGTCGGGTCCTCATGTATAGATATGCATGGCTCCATGCACATATGTTGTACAGACCTTCTTTTCTGACTTTTGCTCACTCTTATTTATGTTTTCTTTTCGGTTGACTGTAAGATGTTACCCTGAAAACAACCAACCAAGTTAAATATAACATTTTGCAGGAGCGGGTTTTGAAGGTTATTCTATTTGTGTTATCTTTGCAATTTATTGCATGGAAACCTTTTCTAGTCATATCAACTTCCAGTGCACTTTCTTTGTGGGAATCTGAGTTCCTAAGTGTGGCACCATCTTCCAATATCATACTTTACAGAGGGAACAAGGATGTACGGAGTAGTATCAGAACGTTGGAATTCTACAATGAAAGTGGTTGTATAATGTTTCAAGTACTTTTGGCCTCTGTAGTTGTTGTTGTTGAGGTACTTTCTTTTGACTCAGATTGCATCTCAATGTAATTTATTTATTTATCAGTGTTAGATAATTAAAAAATGATAAAAAATGCTAAATTTCTAGGGTAAAGGAATTTATTATTTTCATTCAGTTTTCTGGTTGACTTGGATTTGTTACAATTGATTGCTTCACTAGGCAATTTGAAGGGTGATAAGCTGCACTTCCACTTCGGCTATGAGGAAAAGGAAATAGTATCTAAGACAATCACAAGATCTATGTGTTGACTTGCAGGATTTGGAAATATTAGAACGTATAGGATGGGGAGCAGTTATAATTGATGAGTGCCAAGCCTCACAAATGTCAAGACACTTTGAACAGATTAAAATGCTACCAACTGATATGAGGCTTCTTCTTGTCAGTGGTCAAGTCAAGGTAGACTTACTTTCATAAATAATTTTAGTGCTTTTCATTTTCAGATTGATTCCATGACTGCCTAAAATTTCAGGAGTGTGCCTCCGACTATCACAGTCTGCTCTCTCTCCTCAATGCTGCACATGGGCTAAGTAATGACCTTACGAAAATTGACTCTGATAATGATATTGCCAAATTGAAGGACATATTTGCACATTATATTGCATTTCAATGCAATTCAGATTCCTCTAGGTTTGTTGAGTATTGGGTCCCTGTCAAGCTTTCTAACCTGCAACTTGAGCAGTATTGTTCCACACTCCTATCAAACTCAATGTTGCTTAATTCGCATCTGAAAAAGGATCCAGCTCATGCCCTCTGTGACGTTATTATTTCTGCTAGGAAGGTTGGTGCTAACCGAAACATGTAGTCAAGAGCAAGTGTCATTTTTTCTCATTAACCAAATTCCCCCAAAATATTTTTAAATATCCTTTTATTTGATAAGTTAGCCTGCAATTTTGCGTTCAAATGACAACATTTTAAACATGGCCAATAACTGTGTTTATTGGCAGTGTTGTGATCATCCTTATCTGCTAGATCAGTCTCTTCAAAGCATCATCACCAAAGGACTTTCCATGGAAGAGAAACTGGATGTTGAAGTAAAAGCAAGTGGAAAACTGCAGCTTCTTGATAAAATCCTTTTGGAGTCTAAAAGAAGGGGTCTACGAGTATTAATTCTTTTCCAGGTAGCCTGATTATGCTAGGTTTTCCTTTGATTTTCATATATTAAATTGATTGAATTTTTTGTGGCTTAGTGCTCTTTATTCTGTAAAATTCTGAGACATTGAATTTGTTTATAGGTATTCATGTTTTGCATACATTATGCTACCGTCTCACAGGAGTATCCAACCTGTCTGTAAAGGATGGCCCTGACCAGATATTAGTTTCCCTGAAAATACTTGGAACATTTGTTTTGAGTTTTTGATGTCTTTTTTTCCCATGCAATATTTTTGATATCTCTACCTTATCATTTTTCTTTTACCTTTTCTAGATCACTTTAAACCATGATCATTACTTCCACTACCATACATTTAAAACATTTTTTTCATGTAATAAATTTCTACAAGGTCTATTAATTGATGGTCCTAAATTTTCTTATTCAAAACTTTTATGATATGACAGTCAATTCGTGGTTCTACATGGAATTCAATTGGGCATATTTTGGATGACTTTATCTGTCAAAGATTTGGTGAGGATTCTTATGTATGCATTTATGGAGAATTTCCCCGTGCGAGAAAACAAGCTTCTGTGAATATGTTTAATGATAAAAAGGGTGGGAGATTTGTCTTTCTGATTGAAGACCGGGCTTGTCTCCCTAGCATTAAACTTACTGCAGTTGACATCATTATTCTATTTGACAGCAATTGGAACCCACAAAGTGATTTGAAAGCTCTTCAAAGGATCACTATATGTTCACAGTCTGAAAAGCTAAAAGTGTTCCGATTATATTCATCTTGTACTGTGGAGGAAAAAGTTCTGATTCTTGCAAAGGAAGGTATGGCTATGGATAGTAATATGTGCACTTTAAACTGGAATAGCTGCTACACACTACTAAGTTGGGGTGCCTCTTATCTCTTCAATAAGCTTGATGACTTCCATGGCTGTTGCGATTCAGCCTCAGTTTCAAATGTATACCATGAGCAGTCGTTTCTGAATGATATACTCTCAGAGTTGCTAAACTTATTACCTTGCAGCAGCGAAAGTGGTCATTCCACCAAGAACTCAATCATTACAGAAGTACCCCAGGATGGTGTTTATGTCAGAAATATATTTTTATATGGGGAAAGGGAAATTGAATTCACATGCAATGAATCACCTGCTGTTTTCTGGAAAAATCTGCTCAAAGGAAGACATCCAACATGGAAATTTTTGTCTAATTCATCTTCAAGAATTCGGGAAAAGGTTCAATATATTGAGTATCCCTCAAGAGAATCTGAATTTAAATATGATACTTTTCGAGAGAAGAGGGTAAAGGTAGTAAGCCATACTGATTGCCAGGCACATCTTAAATGGAAGACGAAGGGAAAAAGGCATCTAAATGCTAGTAGGAAGAAAAGAAAGCTAACTGGTATGAACAAAATTTTTCAACTGTTAAAATTGGTATTTTTTGTATAAAACTGAAACTTTTAATCCATTTTTTCGTATTTCTAAAGTTAATGTTTTTCAGTGCCATCTAAGAACTCAACTGGTGCAAAAAGGTTCTCTTGTTCACCAGATGATACAAATGACATAAGTCAGGTAAAAGATTACTAGCACTTTCTTTGTTTTTAATCATATAGTAAAGGGAAATTTTCAGTTATCAGCCTCTAATCTGGGTTATGAAATATATTTGCTTGAAATGTTAGATCACTACATCTGTGGAACCAGGGATCTCAGAGCTCTGTAGAGTACTTCAACTACCAGTATGCTCTTTCTGCGCACTTGAGTTTGTTTCTTTTGTATCTATATTAACTTTATTACCAATAAAAACATTCGTGTATTTTTTTATCCTCTTATTAGAAATAAAACAAAAATAGGCTTGTTTGGGGGCTCAGATGCATACTGTCCTCCAAAAATCTCTCAAAGAGGCCCCACTTTTTGAGGCCTCTTCATCAACTCATATGACAAGATAATTGACATTATCTCCAAAAAACAAGTTTTGCAAATAATTTCTACATTTGGTGTGGCTCTTGAAAGATGCATGTTTACCTTGAGTGCAGGAGAATGTCAGGGGCGCTGCACTGGAATTTCTCGGCTACATAACAAAATATTATTATGTTAGTTGGGAAGCAGTTGCTACATCACAAGCCTTTCAGATTTCTGTGGTGAGAGCTTAGAACCTACTTAATTCTTAGCATGGTACTCCCTCCGTTTATTTTTAGTAGTCCTAGTTTAATTTTTGGACTATTCGGACATAAATTTTAGATGAAAATTTAACAACTTATATGAACAATAATTGAAAATTTTTTTTTTTGTCTCCTATATGAAGTTTTTGTTGAGTGTTTTTATTTGAGCAAAAAAAATTTTCAATTATCATTTATATAATGTTATATTTTCATCTAAAATTTGTCTGAAAAGTCAAAAAAGTCAAACTAGGACTACTAAAAATGAACTGAGGGAGTATCATTTTTTGAGTTGTATGAATTGGCATTTGTCATTTGTAAAAATGAAGTACATCCACACCCGCAAGCAAAAATGTGCTAAATTGCTAACACAATGGATACAGTGTCTCCTTTTTTTCTTCTCTCTTTTTGAGCTGATAAATTCAGCACTGCCTCCTTCATTAACAATTTGAAAATGCAGAAGAATATCTGGCTACTCATCCCAACTAAATATTTTTGTCAATTCCAACTGCTTTCAAAGTATGTCATTCTCATACATGCTTGTTCTTGTTTAATGCCGAATGGTCTAAGTAGTTGAAGAAACATCAGAATTCAAATGCATTCTGAAGTTTCTGTGATCTTAACCTTTTCCAGCAAAAGTGCAAAAGTTGTCTAGAAGTCTAACTGAACAGAATGATTCTTTTATCAGCATAAATGAAATATATTTATTGATTAAAAAATTACAAACACAAAATGGGGGCAGAGGTAGCCTCCTAGACCTACAATACAGCACAAAAGTAAATACTCCTGAGAATTTGGGATGATATTTAATGTGAGTGAGAAGATATGGCAACGGAGCACATTCATATATATGCATGGATATTTGCATGTGTCTCGTACAAGATGTTTAAATAAACTTGTGGATATTCTTGGTGGCACTTATATGAACTTATCTCTTTTTTTAATGTGCTTAAGCTTGCCACCCTTCTGCTGTTAGTAAGTTTCACATAGTTTATTTATGAATTCGCTGATGAATTATTTGACTTTTAGTGTTGGATGGCTGCTGCACTTCTGGACTACAAGATTGATTGGTCTGAATCACTTACTCTTGCAAAACTTCAATTGAATTTTGTCTGCAATGAGGAAGAGGCCCATTATATTTACATGAAATTGCAGAGTGTTAAGAAAGAATTTACACAGTGTTCTAACAGTATAAACGGTCTCAATAAGTCAGATTATGCAAGTTCTAAAACATCAATGACATCTGACCTGCAAGAATCAGACAGGGGGGAGATACCAGTTGACTCGCGTGGAGAGAATGTTGCTGACCAACTGGCACCTGCAACTTGTGATGAGCAGCTCAATGAAATCAGCTGTTACTGTGATGCACTGCAAGACCATGCTCCATTGTTAGATTCTCCACCGCACCTCTGTCCTGTTAGACACATGCAAACTTTTCAGTCTCCGGTGAAAGTGAAACCATCTGAAAAAACTCTATGCAGTGAAGTTGTTAGAGATGATGGCTCTGGGAAAATTACCAACACTCTGCAATCTAACAAAAAGAGATCAGATACTTTGGTGCTAGAAAAATCAACCCATTCAATGATCAGTCTATCTGGAGGGTTGGCTGCTTCAGGTGTTGCTGAGGGCAGCCAATCGGTGGTGCAGGCAGAAGTTGGCATTATTGAAGGAAATTCAGTATCTTCAAAAGAAGTGAGTAAAATTTAGATCATGTAGATTGGTTCAGCACATAGTTTCTCCATTTCTCCTTTTTGTAGTGATCTAAAGGCTATAGCCAAATCCTAATGGTTAGAGAGAACAAACAAATCTATAGGCAGGAAATATATTCTAAAACAATTCTCTCCCCTCTCCCACAAAAGAAAAAAAGAACTTTGAATACATAGTTAGCATTCTCTGTTCAAACAGGAAGATTATTAACATTTGAGTACATGGTTTTTCCCTTCCATGATAATTTCTGTTGTCTGTGTAAACTAATGAGCTGTGGCCCGACCGAGGTAAATGATTTTCAAAGTCTGATATTCAGATTTTTGTAATTTAGAAAATACTGAGGTATGGGAACTATAATTGAATTCTTAGTAGGGTAAAGTGAGACACAGAGATGAAATCATTCTGAAAATTATAAATCTCTGCATAATTTTCCATTTAAAATTAATAAAGATATTTAGAATTCTTATTCCCTGAAGTTTGCTATTAAAATTGCAGAATTTAACTCTTAAGTTGTGTTAAAATCCATGCATATTTGAATTTTATATGCTCATGTTTTGTTGGCTATAAAACTGAGCCTCCTCTAGATTAGAAACTTTCTAAATTATCTCCAAAACTTTGAACAAATTAAGAAGCTAAATTTAAAAAGCTACATCAACACACACACACACTAGAGGGTATATTCTGTTGATTTCTTTTATGAAATTTTTTTTGTTTACATCACTCTTCTTTGAATTGCAATTAGGTGAATCTTTTTCTGTAGTTAATAAAAATAAAGTAGCTCATTCTGGATAACTGACCTTTTTGTATGGTATCAGTTGTTTCCTTTTTATGTTTCTTAACTTCCCCTCTTCTAATCTCAAAATTGTTGTGTACTTGCTGATCAAAAAAAAAAATTGTTGTGTACTTGCAGCTACCTATCTTTCCAGTTCCATCCTCTCCAAAGTCCACTTTATCTACCATACCGGCATCCATTGGGACTCAACATCTTAGTGATGGAAGACATGCCTCCATTCAAGAGGCTCAAATTTCAGGAATAACACCCTTACAGGATCAAGCGGAACTCTGTAGCCCTGCTGTTACACATCCCAATGCAAATCTGTTAGTGCAATCGTTTACAAGTGTGTCTGTGGGTGAAGCAGAAACAGAAGTCCAGAATCTTTGGATGCAACAGCTGCCCATCTCCAAAATTTCAACCTCTATGGTGTCCAACTTATCCTCCACACCAGCATCCATGGGGAAGCAACAGCATTGCAGTGATGGAAGGGATGCCTCCTGTCAAGAGGCTCAAATTTTAGGAATACCATCCTTAGAGGATCCAATGGAACTCTCTGGCCTTTCTATTGCACATACCAGCACAAATTTGCCAGTGCAGCCATTTGTTGAAACACCAGTCCAGAATCTTGGGATGCAACAGCTGCCTGTCTCTGGAGTTTCAACTTCTATGGCATCCAACTTATCCTCCACACCAGGATCAGGGGGGATTCAACAACATTGCAGTGATGGAAGGGATGCCTTCTGTCAAGAGACTCAAATTTCAAAAATACCAACCTTACAGGATCCTGTGGAACTCTCTAGCCCCACTATTGCACATACCAGTATGAATTTGCCAGTGCAAGCATTCATTGACGTGGAAACACAAGTCCAGAATCTTAGAATGCAACAGCTGCCTATCTCTAAAGTTTCAACCTCTACGGCATCCATCTTATCCTCCATATCAGCATCCGTGGGGATTCAACATCTCAGTGATGCAAGGGATGCCTCCTGTTTAGAGGCTCAAATTTCAAGAATACCATCCTTACAGGGTCCAGTGGAACTCTCTAGCCCTGCTATTGCACATGGCAGTACAAATTTGCCAGTGCAACCATTCGGTGAGGTAGAAACACAAGTCCAGAATCTTAGGATGCTAGAGTTGTCTGTCTCTGAAGTTTCATCCCCTATGGCGACCAACTTATCCCCCAGACGAGCATCCATGGGAATTCAACATCTTCCTAACGGAAGGGATGCCTGCTGTCAAGAGGATCAAATTTCAGGAATACCATCCTTACAGGATTTAGTGGTACTCTCCAGCTCCACTGTCACACATCCCAGAACAAATTTGGTGCAGCAACAGTTTCCTAGTGTGTCTGTGGGTGAAAAGGAAACACAAGTTCAGAATATTAGGGTGCAACAGTTGCCCCGCTCTACAGTTTCATCCTTTATGGCATCCAACTTATCTGCCATCCAAGCATCCATGGGGGTCGAACATCTCAGCAATGAAAGGCATGCCTCCTGTCAAGAGGCTCAAGTTCCAAGGCAGTCATCCTTACAGGAGCTTGTGGGATTTTGTAGCCTTCCTGTTATACAATCCATCAGAAATTTGCCAATGCAACCATTTGGAGGTATGTCTGCAGGTGAAAATGACACACAAGTCCAGAATCCCACGAGCAGAGCTACGATATTTCAATCCCTGCATTCTCATCCTTTTCATGCAAACCTTACAAGAACATTGCCACAGTATGGTTGCTCAGACCCATTCCAGATTGAGATTGAGAGGTTAGCGAAGTTAAAGGTGGAAGCCTCCAAGCTCCACGAACATATGGTTTGTCCTCAATTACTATTTTTTTCTTGCAAATTTTGATGCCATGTATAAGAAACTAATTGGTGCCAGCTTTGAATATTCCTGTGCAAATGAACAGATAATGCAGCTGAAGTCTGAATGTAACAAAGAGATAGAAGAAACATACAAAAAGTATGACATATTGTTTCAGGATGCTGAAATAGCGTTGGTAGAAAGGAAGAAGGTACTCAATGCCTATAGCAACAAAGTGTTCCTAAACAAGTTACTGGCAGAGACTTTGATACTTAAACAGGATTACAATGAAGCAGCTGCTTCACCAGGTATCCTATTGGTTGTTCTAGAGATTCCTGCAACCAGGTTCTCAAATTCTGCTTTGACTATCAGTTTTATGATTTAGAACAGAGTTGATATTATTCAAGATAAAATTCAAAATTAAAACGTTTTATGGCCTTTCAACTAAAAGGTTATTGAAGAAATGGTTCAAAATTGAGAATACAGCTTTTGTTGGTATTTGAAATTTGGTCACAGATAATCTTCTTGGCTTCTAATAATCTTTCACTCTTGCAGATGACAATGTCCAAAGTTTTAGGAATCAGCTAATTCAGCAAGCTACACAGATGCCTCTGAGAATTGGACAACCTTTAACAGTAGACCTTGGAGCAGCACCACCTGTGCAGGTGTTTAACCATTCTTCAATCTGCACTGCTGTGCCACATCCTGCTTCCATGACTGGTAACACGGTGCGAGCACCAGCTCCACATCTTAGAGCTTTTAATCCTCCATCCATGTCAACACCTCCGGTCCCAGCGCCAAGCCTGGTGTCAAACTGGCAAGTTCACAGTAATCTGGAGACTGTTATTGGTCACTGCATGGAGAACCCAGGTTTCCAGTAAGATCATTTAGAATTCAACCCCACCAATAGACAATCTGCATAACTTGGATTTTGACTTCTAAGATCACACACCCCTACCAATTAGCAATATGGAGTACCCGGTCTTTCTCTGGCTAGGTAAAGAAACTCAACTGGGAAAATTTCGTAGTTTGGGATGCAATGGGTGGTTCACAATTTTTATTCCTTTTTGATAGATCATAGGTTGGTAGATTTGAAGCGTGGCTTCCCGTCTAGGAACCATAGTCCATGTAACTATCTATCAGTCATAACAACTCACCTCCTCCCCTTGAGGAATCAAAATGGTTATAACCACTTATACTGACGGAAAGTAAATATGGTTAAAAAAACTTGTCCTCGGTTATCATCATTAAGCTTATGCAGGCGTTCTAGATTTGTGATACATGGCATGACTTTCACGTTGAAGAATTATTTTCTTTAGTATGCCAAAGCACGACAAAACATTCAGGATTTAAAGTTACCGAACAGAAAAGTTGCAGGGCCATTAGCTTAACTGAATTCATATTTTTTATTTTTTATTTTTATTTTTATTTTTATTTTTATTTTTTTTGAACATATTTGTAAGGAGCGGGTTTCGAACCCAACCCGGGGAGGGAGGAATGCACCAGGGTGACTATTGCCACTAGGCCGTAAGGCCAGGTGCGAATTCATATTTTTTATTTGAATGAAATTAATTATGCAAAATAATATTAACAACAAAACTGAATTGAAAACATTTGAAAATACATCTAAGGCCATCGTGAGAATCCAAATCCAGGGTCTAAAGGCAGCAACGACCAAAGAAAATGCCACATTTCCATGCGTCTTTATTTCATATGGTAAGACTCGTTTTCTTCATCCTGAGTCATGGAGCGGGGCATCGAAGCCTCGATTCTAAGAGGTATTTCTCCATTTCTGCAGGACGACCAGAAGGCAAACTTCATTGTTATCAAGGTGATGAAACTTATTTCTCCTTGATTAAAGTGCAGAGAAATATTTAACGTGAGGTCAAAATCACAGCCAAATTGCAAGAGGATCCAACACAATGGGAAAATTCACATAGGAACAAAGTTTAGAGATGATCGCAAATAGCCTTTGTGAAGTCGGTTGTTGTAGAAGTGCCCCCGAGGTCGGCAGTTCGGTACTTCCCCTCTGCAATTGTGTTGAGGATAGCATCTTGGATCCTATCAGCCTTGTCATGGAGCTCCAAGTGGCGCAACATCGTGACAGCACTTAGTAACAATGCAGTTGGATTTGCCAAATTCTACATGATGTCAACATGTAAAAGTAACTATCTGCTTTGACAAACAAGAAGACACAGAAAGCAATTGATCTTCCTTCTTTTTTTTTTTTCGTCCGAAACATCTACAAACGCCCTATTCTAACCTTTTTCCCATAAATTCCCCACAAAGAAGAGCCAACTAACGTGGAAATTAACCCCCAAGGTTCAAATCTTAAAACCAACCTCAGTACCCAAACAGAGATAGACGAGATTTTACAAGTGCCATTAAACTAGAGGTTCATTATCAAGCAATTAACAAAATGACAAGGCAATGTGCGGTGGCACTCTATAATCCAACAAATTGAAATTGCAGAGAGGGAAAGAACCTTGCTGAAGCCAAACAATGCATAGAGACCATGTAGGGCTAAATAACACTGAAAACTAACCTTTCCTGCAATATCGGGTGCTGAACCATGAACAGCTTCGGCAAGGGCAATTCCACCCTCACCAATGTTGCAACTGCACAAGAAGTCATGCTGTCAAATAACAGGATGTAACAACCACTGATTATAAACAATTTACATTTACCTTGGTGTTAGACCCAATCCCCCAATCAATCCAGCACAAAGGTCGCTGATAATGTCACCATAAAGGTTAGGCATCACCAATACATCAAAAAGTGTCGGATTCTTCACAAGCTGTGGGCAGTAAAACACGTGGTCAGTGTTATTTTCAGTTTGTACTTCCATAGAAGTTGTCAATGGGGCTACATCCATCCACAAGTAACTTTTTTGTTTCCCATAAGAGCAACAGAAAACCCAAACAAGCCCATAACCACATTAAGTAGATAGAGAAAAAGAATACTCTGCAATAAAATGAAGCTTTAATACCATCATACAACAATTGTCAATGACAACTTCCTCATATGTAATCTCAGGATATTTCTCTGCAACCTCACGGCAACACTGGAAGTGAAAATTAAACCACACTTAGTAAGTAAGTCAATCCAGTGGGAAACAATTACAATTAATTCAACAAGGTAAATTAGCATACCTTGAGAAAAAGACCATCAGTTTTCTGCATAATGTTGGCTTTGTGAATTGCAGAAACTCTCTCTCTACCATGGGTCTTGGCATAGTGAAAAGCATATTCAGCCACTCGTAAACTTGCCTGACGAGTAATGATCTTAAGGCTTTCAACAACCCCCCTCACCACCTAGCACAAAGGAAAAAATAAGTATCTAATTTGTTTCCTCTGCATATGTGCTAGGATGTTTATGGATCCTGTAAAAACAAACTTACTTGATGTTCAAGTCCACTGTACTCCCCTTCTGTGTTTTCACGAATGGTAATAAGATTTACATCATCATAACGAGTTTTATAGCCAGGGAGGCTGTAACAAGGCCTGACGTTGGCATACAGATTAAGTTCTTTCCTTAAAGTAAGGTTCAGAGAACGATGACCTTTTCCAATCGGCGTAGCCATGGGACCTTTCAAGCCTACCTTATTCCGCCGAACTGATTCTAAACTTTCCCAAGTTAGAAAACTCTGGGTTCTAGGATCTACTTGGTCTCCAACATAGTGTTCTTCCCATTCAATGGGCACTTCAGCTGCTCTAAATATCTGTATGGAAAACAATTTAGTCAGAACTCTGATAAAATGCCATGTATATTAACAGGTAAACATCTCCCAAGGGTGGGGTACTCTAGCGTATCAGAAGCACCAGATAGGGAGAAACTAAGACAACATGAAACTAACAGAATCCTTTAGATTTCACTCTTGTAATATAAAAGTAGTAAATCAAAGAATTAAAGTGTAAATCTGCACTAGAAAGATTCAAAGAAAAAAATATTGTCAATGTGAATGAAACATAACATATCTCATATCATTATTTTAATGTGATTCAATCAAAGCGTACATACTTGTCAACAGATTTGCAAGCCTGAAAAGTTTAGTTTAACTTGAATATGTGTATAGAACATTTAGTCAAGGTAACAGGACAACAAAATTTACCTCACATTTTGACAATAGCTGAATATTTGAGAACCAAAATCTTTTAGTTTTACCATGAGAATTTGTTACAAGAACAGATGAGAATCTATGTTCTCATTTCCATGGAGTAAGACTGTAGGACATTAACTAGAAAATAAGAGGTCTGCTGCCTAATTACATTATAGCTGTAAGCTGTTGTTAAATACCAAAAATTGAGAACTGGCAAATAAATCCATTTTTCCATGTTTATCATCACAAGGGCACCTCAGAGAGTTAGACAGTTAGTACACTAGGTTACCAAACAAATTGGCCAAATAAGTGAGCTATGTACCCAAAAGTCCAAGACATCCATCAATAGACATTTACCAAACAAACTTTCCAAACAAGACCCATGGTAATATCTAAAAACTTCTCTCTTAAAGATGTTCAGAAAACAGCTCATTAATCTCCTAAAATCTAAATTCAAACCACAACAGCTATTTACAACCTTAAGAAAGACATATTATAAAATCTCAGTTTGGATAACTTTTCGACTAAAAATTGCTTATTTATAATACTCTCAATAACCATAAAGACCGAGCAAGATATTGCCAGCATCAAAAGCTCCATTAAAGACGGAAACTTTTCACTCAATCAAATTTCCACCTAAAACTCCATTCCAGGAGGGAACTTTCCACTCGGTTACACCTAAAATTCCATCCATTCCATTCATATTTACTATCCCTAGAAAGTATTTTCAACGAAAACAAGCATAATCAAGTAACATACCACCGCAGAATCGCAAAAAAAGCTTAATTAAAAAAAGAAAAAAAAAAGAAAAAAGAAAAAACCTCAACATCAAGCTCCAATCAAGCATCCGATGCAGAAAAATAACTAAAGAGAACAACGAATTGAAGAAAAAGACAAAGAGAAGAACCGTTTTAACGGACTCGGCAATCTCAGGACCGATGCCATCGCCTGGGAACAGAGTGGCTCGGATCGGAGTGGAAGCAGCGGAGAAAGCCCTGGCTACAGTTAGCGGTGAAGTGGGGTTAGGGTTTGCAGAGGAGAGGATCTTGGTCGTCCTTCTCAAGAGCTGAGTCGCCATTCTTCACGTTGATCTCGGTCGCCGCCGTTATGCTTCCGGCACCAAAAAAAGAAAAGACAAACACAGAAAAGTTAATACGACATTTCTTTATTTATTTTAATGGTGGACCAATCCGTGATGCCACGTCAATTACCAAGGGTACCTTTGGTATTTCATTTTTTGAGAAAACTCCACTGGATTTTGAGCATGAACTCTATTACATGGAAATGGTTAATTATGGCTTACACTAGTAATTTATTGTATTTGTGGCTACACAAATTTATTAATGCTATATTTAAAAATATTAATTTAATTTAAT